GAATGCTTCTGAACTTGTTCTGTTCTCTTCAGCCATCTGACTCCAACTGGCCCTTTTTTGGCCAGTCCCTGTATTGGGTGGGCACCAAATCCACCTGTTAGAGTGTTAATTGCCAGAACTAGGATAGAAGTGACTGGGAATTTTTTTTAAGACTTGGAACATATGAGGAGATCAATGCTAAGTCAATTATTACCCATAGCCTAATAATTAGGGCAGCCAAATCCCACATGGCTGACTGTGGTTTGAGTCCCAGACCTAGCAGCTTGGAAAACATGCTGGGTATGTGTATATACTGCCCCAAGTCCCAACAGGATGGAGAATTGGAAGACAAGAGATTGCAGCATGACCATGCCCTATTGGGAGGTGTTTTCTCCGCACATGTACCCTCTGGCAATTAAAACAAACAAAGTCATATCCCTGATAATTGCCCTGTTTTTGTTTGTTTGTTTGTTTGTTTTGGGGGGGGTGTGTGTAGAGAGCAGATAAGCTCACCAGAGTGGGAGGAAAGGGGAGAAAGCACCCCTCTCCCAGTGGGGCATGGTCATGCTGTAATCTTTTCTTCATTTCTCCATCCTGTTGGGACTTTTGGGCATGCACTCACACATGTTTCTGGTGTGTTTCTCAAGTCACCAGGGCCAGGATTTGAACTGTGTACAGTCAGCCATGTGGGACCCAGCTCCCTTTAACCACTAGGTACAGGGCCTGCTTAATGATTACAGACTCCAAGGCTCATCTCTTCTCAGCGACCTTTCTTACCAGATTGTCTCAGCCCTCAGCTGACCTCAGTCTTGCACGCTTACCAGAAAAGTTGAGTTGAGTGAAACCTCAGATCCTTGGTTAACAGCAAGGAGTTCACTGCCAGAGACCCTTTGTGCCCTTAGGAATACCCACTCCCTGTGCACCCATCCTTACCCTCTGGCCCATGGAAGTGACTTTCCCCTGTCCCTACCCCTCCAGATATGCTGTGACACAGGCAGAGCTTTTTGCCTTGCTTTGCCGCCTGGCCGATGAGCTGCTCTTCAGGCAGATTGCCTGGATCAAGAAGCTGCCTTTCTTCTGCGAGCTCTCAATCAAGGATTACACGTGCCTCTTGAGCTCTACATGGCAGGAGTTAATCCTGCTGTCCTCCCTCACGGTTTACAGCAAGCAGATCTTTGGGGAGCTGGCTGACGTCACTGCCAAGTACTCACCCTCTGACGAAGAACTACACAGGTGAGGGCTGCTGCCTGGGGAGGAAATCCTAGGCAACCACATCATTGTCATCCCTGCAAGGCTGGGTTGCCTGGCCCTCTGAGGGATAGGCATTAAAACATGCCTAAGGACTAGCAGGTGGCATAATGGTTACGTCACTGGACTCCCATGTAGTCAACTACAGTTTGAGTCCCAGACTGTGTGGCTTAAAACTCACGTTGGGCGTGTGTGTGTGCATGCCCAAAATCCTGAGAGGAGAATGGAGGAGGGACTAGAGTGTAGCCATCCCCTCTGGGGGATGATTTCTCACATTCTGTCTCTGTCTCTCTCTCCAGTGAGCGCACGCACCCTATAGCAAAATTATCTCTAAAAAACAGAACAACATACAGGCCTGGTTTCATATCCTCACTGTGCCACTGAATAACTTTGTGACCTTGGCCAAGTCTCCGATCCTCAGAATCTGATTGTATAAAATAGGGTGATAACAATACCTCCCCAACAAGGTAGTTGTGAGGAATAAATACTGTACAGTCTACCTTAGCAGAGCGCTAAACTGTTGTTTTTGTTGTCTGGATTACTTAGATCTTGTAAAACAAACATCTGAACTCTTGCCTTCCAAGGTAAGAGGAACTCTGTAGTTTACAGTCCAAGACAGTGACCTGGAAGTTACTCTGGTACCTACTGAGTGTTGGCTACTAGTCTAGGTATTTTATATTATTGTTTTATTTCTTTCTCACAGCCTCTGGCATTGGAGGTGTCATTGTACCTATTTTATAGAGGAGGAAACTGAAGTTCAAAGAGAGCTCTCTTTGAGGATTTGGGATTTAAATCCACAGCCTAGATTTGAACTTGCATCTAACTGATTGCAAAGCTTAGGCTTTCTTACTGCATCTGAACTACAGCAAGATGTTAAGAATATGGGACTCAAAAAATAAGCGTTTTCCTCTGGGACTCAGAATATAGCATTTTCCTCTCCATTTTCTGGCATAAAATTTCATCCCAGCCAGTCCTGGGCCTCTGACCTCCCTGTCTAGAAGAGCTCGTCTTCCTGCTGCTCCACAGCCAGGCCGGTGCACTTCTGCCCACTCCCTTTGGAGACCTGGGCACATGGCTGCCATATCTTCTGACTCCCAAATCAGGACAGGTGATTGGTTGAGACAGCTTTCTGACTCATTAATATTTTCTTTTGAAAAGTCTTGTAAAGCTTAATTCACATTTCAGTAGACATTTTAATAAATCACCCTTATTGGACAGTTTAAAATTGTGGAAATCATGGGATTCCAGCACACCAAGGAGGAGGAAAGAAAAGGTATTTCCATCAATGAAAGCTGGAGAGGGTGTGGCAGCCTCCACACTTCACAGAACTGGGATGTATCTTCCTACTGCATCCATTCGTGGCCTAGAGACAAGCCAGGCTCACATTGGGAGCAAAACAATGTCACGAACTTCTAGGGCCCCTTGTGTAGCCAAAAGAGAATGGAGTCCAGTTGTTGTCACTCTCCCTGGTTTCTAATACTTATTAGTGATGCTTACTGGCTTCAAAGTGATCTATAAATGACAGAATTTTCAACCCACCTGACACATTAACCTGTAAACAAAGCTATCTGATTTTGAAGATGACCTAACCCCATGTCCAGAGCCTCTAATTCATCGCCTCCATCAAATTCCTGTCTCCAGCTTTGTAAGTCTGGCCGATGGTGTTTGGATAGCAGGCAGCAGTTCTGTCAAGGCTCAGGAAGCTGTGGAGGGAGTCCCACCTCCCCATTTGCCTGGAATGTGCCATTCAGTCTGGGGCTGCCTGCAGTCAGCCTCTGTGCTCCACTCCTTGCTAAGGTTTTCCTAGGCCGTCTGCAGGTAGGCAGGGATCAGGGGTAGTGCAAGGCCGTCTTTGACTTTGAGCTTCATAAGACATTGTACCTCTGTAGCCAGTGCCTTGAGCCCAGTGACCAAAGTGGGGACCAGCAACAGTTGAGTTCATGAGGAAACTTACTTCCTAGGGAAACTCATTACCAAGGAGACTCTAAAGCTGTGCTAGCCAATGCTGTAACCACAAGCCTTATGTGGTTTTTAAATTTTAAATTTAAGTGAATTAAACTTTAAAATCCAGTTCCTCAGGCATGGTGATTAAGACGGCTGGATCCCACAGGGCTGCCGGATCTGGCAGCTTGGTTGTAGCATGAGCATCTCCCGTGAGGGGTGCTCTCTCTCTCTCTCTCTCTCTCTCTCCGCCCCCCCATGAATGCATGTGCCCTCTAGCAAATTAAAAAGAAAAAATAATTTTCAGTTCCTCATTTGCAGTAGACACATTTATTTTTTTAAAGAATTATTTTATGTAACTTTATTTATTTTCATTTGATTAGAGAGAGAGAGAGAGAGAGAGGGAAAGCGAGAAAGCAAGCCGCCAGGTCCAGGACTCAAACCACAGTCGACAATATGGGAGTCCAGCGGCAAAACCATTACACCATATGCTTGTCCCAGAATATTGGTATTAGCAATATCTCAAATGCTCATTAGCCACATGTGGCTAGTGGCTACTCTACTGCATAGTGCAAATAGAGAACATTCCTGTGGGGATCAGTAGATGGCACATGGTTACATTGCTGGTCTCCTGTGTAGTTGACCGCAGTTTGAGTCCTGGACCCTGTGACTTGAAACTCATGCTGGGCGCATGTTCTTGAGTGCCCAGGATCCCGAGAGGAGAATGGAGAAGGGATTGTGGCGTGGTCATCCCCCCTGGAGGGCTATCATCACAGAAAGTTCTGCTTAACAATGCCAACTCCAGAACAGGTGTTGCTGCAGAGCTCTCAGCTGGGTTCTGAGGATAAGAAATGGAATTGTTAAGACTTATGCTCTATTGTGTAATCCATTGATGGAAAGTAAGAGTTAAACTTCAACATATTCTGATTCCAGGGCCATTTACTGGGCACCTATTGTGGGTGTTGGGGAGAGCTATGCAGGGGTCACAAATGATGCAGACATGGTTTCTAGTTCCGAGAGTCCCCATTCTTGGCTTAAGGGATTGGGAGGCAAATAGAAACAGATACAGTGCACAATGCAGGATTTTCTTGGTGGAAATTGAGGGGTATGTGAAGGAGTATACAAGCATAGACTAGGAAGGGAGTGCCTCTATTTGAAGAATCAGGAAGGCTTACCAGAGGAGCAGGCATCAGAGCTGCACCTTGAAGTGGGAGTTTCCTAGTCATGATCTAGAGAACAGAAGGCAGGCAGGAGAACAACAAATCCTAGAAGTTAGAGACCCTCTGTGATTGCTATGTGTGCAGAAACCAAAAGCAATCCTGTGGATTTGGATATAAAGAGGATGTATTTGAGAGGGACTGAGATGTGAGGGGAGAAATGACTGAGGACAGAAGTCAGACAGGACAAGTCATGGAGGTGCTCAAATGCCAGTCTCAACAATTGTGGTTTTTTGGGAACCAGCAGTTAGCGTAATGGCTGTGTTGCTGGACTCCCTCGTAGTCGACCACGGTTCACGTCCCGGACCCGGTGACTTAAAACTCACGCCGGGCGTATGTGCGTGCATGCCCAAGATCCCGAGAGGATAATGGAGGAGAAGGGATTGTGGTGTGATCATCCCCCCTGGGGGGTGATTTCTCGCTTTCTGTCTCTATGTCTCTCTCTGTCTGGCGAGCGCACGCGCCCTATAGCAAAAAAAAAAACCTCTCCAAAATAAATAAATAAATAAAAAGAAAAAATAAAAAGAATTGTGGTTTTTCCAAAAAGATGAAGAGATTACCACATGACCACATCTCATGAGGGAGTGGGGAGTATGCTGCTTTTCTCTCCCTCTCTAGTTAATATACACACCCTCTGACAAATTTAAAGGAAAAAAAAAAGAATTTGGACTTTAATATGTAAGTAGTAGGACTTTTTTTTTTTTTTTCAGTTTTTGCTATAGAGCATGTCCATTCACAAGAGAAAAAAGAGAGGGGGAGAAAGAGAAGTAAAGTGAGAAATCACTGCGCAGAGGGCACAGCAATACCACAATCTCTTCTATTCGGTCTCCTCTCAGGATTTTGGGCAGGCACACTCAAATGCCTAGCATGTTTTCCAAATCGCCGGGTCCCACACAGTCAACCATGTGGGATTCAGCATCTTAACCTCCACACCACCTGCTGGCCCAGTAATCCTGAGGTTTTCATTGCAATTTTCTATTTCATTTTGTATACATTTATTAAGCAAAGTTTGTCTCTATGAAAGAATTGTTCCTTCTGCATTTATTTTTCAGTGACTTACATGAGTCTAGACTCATGGCTATTTGTTAAGGACTTTTTTTTTTTTTTCAGTTTTTGCTATAGAGTGCATACACTTTCAGGGAGAGGAGGATGAGATTACCCCCTAGGAGGGATGGCTGTGCTGAATCCCTTCTCCAGCATCCTCGGGATTTGGGACACGTATGCACACACGCCTGCGTAATTTTTAAGCCTCCGGGTTTAGCATATGGACCACTTGGCTGGCCCTGTCGGAGCCAGCATCCTAACCTCCATGCCACTTGCTGGCCCAGTAGGAGGACATTTTCAAGTGGAGGCATTACACTGGATGTGTTTCAGAAAGATCTCTGTGGCTATAAAGCTCAGGATGGACAGGACCAGAGCACAGTGGTGGAAAGGAGGCTGTTTAATAGCCCAAGGAAAAGGAGACAAGGCCTGCACAAGGCAACAGTGACCCTAGGAAGAGAGAGAACAGCAGAAAGCTCAGAGATGTCAAGGAGGTAAAGTTGGTGGGAGTTCAGTGAGGACGGAAAGTTGGGGTGACTGCCAAGTTATGGGACTAGCCAGGCAGATGAGTACCGATTCTCTTAGCCAAGATGATGGTGCCTAAGAGCAAGATGGAAGATGAACCACTCTGAGGTTGGTCTGGGGTCTGTGGAATCTGAAGTGTTTGTAGAACTGCCCAGGAGGTTGTAGGAGATGGAACTACAAGCACCTGTGGAGGTAGGTTAATCACTGTGAAGTAGTCCCCACTCTGCTAGGAACCCGGGGTGCGAGTCTGTAATTGGCCATAGCTCTTCCAACCTTCCTTGCTCCGGCCTTACTCCCACTCCCCCAGACTGCCTTTACTTTTTCACAGCTCTTCAGCACAAGTGAGTTCCTGCTGTCATGAAAAGGCTTTTCCCAGATGATACACGACTACCTCCTTTTCCCTTCTCAAATATTGAATCAAATTTATGGTGCCTATATTCCTTAATCAGACTGTTATCAGAGAGTGAGCTGGGCGAATTTGATTTAAAGCAGATTGTAGCACCAGTCAGTGACTGCTCCAGACCCTAATCAAGACTCCTTTACTCTCTGGAGAAGATCCTTGAGCCGGATAGGCTTTAATGGGCACCTCTGACTCGGGAGCCCTGGCTCCATTTCTGCATGATCTCCAGCTTCCCTGCCTGGCCCTAACTATGAGACTGAGGAAACACAGTGTTTTCTTTTAGCTGCAAAACTGGGAGTGATGACAATGGTGCTATTAGTAATAAAAATAACAACTACAGTGTATTTCTCATGCCAGAGTCCATTTTAGGTGTTATACATGTATTATTGATTCCTCACCACCACTCTGAGCGTGGCACTAACATCCCTGTTCTAAAGATGAGGGGCATGACTCAGAGAGGTGAAAACTCAAGGCTACAAGGTTGAAAGAAGATGGAGTTAAGGTGACCACCTAGGTCTCTTGTGCTTGAAAGCCCAGGTTCTTTACCATTTGTTTCCTGATACTCAGTTCTTACTCTTCCAGAGCCTTCTCAAAAGCTTTGGCTTGCTGGGATCTGTCCTGGCATTGCAGTCTGACTTTTCTTCTTGGAAATCAGTGAGTGTGAGATGGCAGTTCCTCTAAGGTTGTGGCTGATGACTGCTCCTGGGGGTAGGTGCACTTAGATGAATGAAAGAGACAACTGGGCCTCTCAACCCCCTTAATGGGACATAACTTACACAGTGTCAGTTTCAATTGCTGACTGAATGGTCCAGTGGTTTGGGGGATCCTGACAGGAATGTTTTCCTTGTCCTAGCAAGCATGTGTAATGGCAACCCAGAAGAAGAATGGGTGTGTTTGTCCAACTCTCTGACTTTGAATGCTGATAATTTGTAGACAGGGAATACAGGGGCATCAGAACTGTGGGGTGGGCAGATGTGGAGGAGGCACAGCTACAGGAGAAAGCAGACCCATGGAACAGAGAACAACTTTGTTTATCAAGGGGTGGGATGTGGGTGTGGAGGAAAACTTTGCAGTCAGCCTGTGGAGACTGAGTGGGGGCTGCTAGGCTGACTGCCAGCACCTCCCCCTACACCCCCCCCCACTGCCAGGGGTCCCGATAGCTGCCTTTTGTTGGTTATTTGGGGAAGAGGGATATCCTGTCCCCAGAGAAAGGGCAGACCTGGAGCATATGCGTAGGATAGGCACTTGGGAGCCCTTTTGTGTCCCTCGGGTCATGACTCACTCAGGAGTAGGTTTGGCACTACTGATGGGGTCTGGCTGATGGCCACACACCTGCAGTTTTTGCAGTGCCAGGGTAAGCACTGGGCAGGAGGGGACTGATTAAGGGGCAGAGCATTATCTTTGCTCGCTACACTGCTCAGCCACCAGACAGCTGCTGACACCGCTTCTTCTCTGCATCCTCCTATTTTGTGTCCTACCCTATCTCATCCGCACCCTGGCCCTCCTAGCAGATACAGTCGAGAACTGGCAGCAAAGACCTTTTCTCTTCGCAGTAACATAAATTGCCAATAAAGTATTGTGATGTGGAGTGGTCTTCACTGCCAGACAGACTGGTCCCTGCAAGTCTCAGCATCACTGCAGCAAGTCCAGTGCCCACCCAGGCCAGGCCTCAGGCTGAGTTGCTGTAGAAATTCACAGCGCTCGAGGTTCCCAGTGGGAGCAGGTGGTAGCCTTTCCCATTGAGCAGCTAAGAACAAGACAGGATCAGGGGTGAGCCGTGCTGTGCTGAGAAAAGACTCGCAGTTAGCAAACCTAGGTTCGCACGTTGGCTTTACCACTGCGTATTTACCATGTAACCTTGAGGACGTCGCCTTGGTTTCTGCTTTCTCATCCCCATGAAGGTGATATCACGTATCTTACAGCTTATTGGGAGAGTGGAATATAAGAACACATGTGAAAGTGCCTAGTACATAATAGATGCACAATAAATAATTTCTCTTAATTCTTCACATCCATGTGTGAGTGAAGGTAATGATGGTCAAGAATCCATTTTGTGGATTCATTAGGAACACGTAATGAGAGAACATATATGGAATACTGAAAGTGCCTTTCCTGGCAGATAGCAAACATTCAACAAAAGGTAGAATGGTAGATATGGTCACTACAGTGGTTTATACAGTATAATTTCATCTATTAGCCAGTCTAGGAAAATCAACAGAGTTGTAAAAGCCACTGGGCCAGGTGCAGAGAGAAACTGAGCCAACCATCATAGCCCAAATCACCAAACTGAAAGAAACCCCAGCTCAGGCTAAGAGCCATGTCATGAAGCCAAGGGTCAGAGTCGTGGACTGCAGTTACCTGCTGCTCCCCCTTCTGCTTGAGAAGTGTAGGTGCCTTTGGTTCCATGCAGAACCAGGTTTTCTCCAGGGAAGAGAAAATAATCCTGTTTGCCCAGGAAGCCTATGCCTTCAAAGTTAACGTGGCCAGTAGAACTCAGGAGGCAGCAGTGCAGACAGGGCCTTTCTGGCCTGGGATGGGACTGCACTGCCTAGCGACCAGCCCGGGGGCTGAGCATCTTCTCTTTGTGACTGAGCTGCATCTAAGGACTATCTGGAACTATCCCTAGCCTATTGTCTGACCCACTCCTAGAATGACTCAGGCTGGGCCTAAGCCCAGCTTTAAAAAACTTCTGTTTCTCTGGAACCAGCAGTTAGCGTAATGGCTGTGTCACTGGACTACCATGTAGTTGACTGCAGTTCGAGTCCCGGACCCAATGGCTTCAACTCACACCAGGCGCATGTGCGTGCGTGCCCAAGATCCTGAGAATGGAGGCGAAGGGATTGCAGTGTGGCCATCCCTACCAGGGGGTGATTTCTCGCTTTTTGTCTCTCTATCTCTCTCTTTCTGGCAAGTGCACACGCCCGATAGCAAAAACCTCTCAAAAAAAAACCCAAAAAAAAACACCCCAAAAAAAAAAAAAAAAAAAAAAAAACCACTTCTGTTTCCCATTAAGCATTTGCCTCCTTGGTTTGAAGTGTACACAGAGCATTAGTCCCCTGAGGTAGCTTAGCCTAGGGTTCCCTTGCCTAAAACTTGATCTTTCCCTGAGTACCTCACTCTTTACCCACAGACAGGGGCAGGGCCAGCTTTGAGCCCTCTCAGCTAAGACATACCACTATAGGGAACCAGCAGTTAGCGTAATGGCTATGTCGCTGGACTCCCACGTAGTCGACCGCGGTTCGCGTCCCGGACCCGGTGGCTTAAATCTCACGCCGGGTGCGTGTGCGTGCGTGCCCAAGATCCCGAGAGGAGAATGGAGGAGAAGGGATTGTGGTGTGACCATCCCCCCTGGGGGATGATTTTTCGCTTTCTGTCTCTATGTCTCTCTCTGTCTGTCTGGCGAGTGCACGCGCCCTATAGTGAAAACCTCCAAAAAAAAAAAAAAAAACAAGACCTACCACCATAGATACTGGAAACTAAGGCCTTGGGAAGTTAGCCCCGTGTCCCAAGTTCCAAGCGCCTCCACCACCAACTAGCTCGGCGCTTGTGGGCCATTCCCCTTCCTTCTTTGGATTTCAGTTTCTCATCTGTACAACAGTGAGGATTATCTTGCCTAGTTCATAGGGTTGAGAGAATTAAATGAGATAATGCACATAAAGTGCCCAGCACAGAGGCTGACAGGGCTTGAAGACTCCTAGTAAGTTAATGTTACCTTCCCTTCCTACCCGAAGTAAAGAATGCCAATAAAACTGTGCTCTTGTTGACCCAGCCACTGTGACACACTTGCCAGGGTTCTCTCCTAGTCCTCGAGCCACCTGGGAGGCTCAGGTTCAGATCCTGAGTTGACTTGAACATTCTGGGCAGGCTGGGAAGCTGGAGGAAGATCACAGCATGGCAAGACCCTGCTAGAGGTTTCTCTGGGTGTGTGTGTCTTTCTCGAAAAAAATAATTAACTTATAACAAACCAAAAAAAAAAAAAAATTTCACTGTGTGTGAGCGATCTTAGCCCTGCTAGAAACAATGAGCCTAACTAAATACAGTCAGAAGCTCTTTTTGCATTGTGGCTGAAGCTCAGAGTCAGCATGGCCATGGCAGTAGCTATAGAGGCTACATCTCAGGAATAACGGTTCTTAATAATGTGGTATTTCTCCACATTACATCCCAGACTGTCGTTGGCCCTTGTCAGCCCAAGCAGGCGAGCATTATCATTTTGTAGAGGAGGAGCTCACAGCTTAGATGGGTCAAATGACCTTCCCAAGGTTCTACAGTCTGTGTGTGATGGAGGTGGATTTGAACCGTGATTTGATTGACTCCTCCTGGCCTTAGGAACAGTAGTTTGCATAAGCTACATTGGTCTCTAGACAAACTGAGTCTATGTTTCTTCCACAGGTGACTCGAATTTCATTTCCCCAAGCTCAGCCTCTTCCCTCTCATGGGTGCTATACAGAGCTGTAGGAGCCCTGTCAGGCCGCCCCTAGTATCCAAGCCCGCTGTTAACTTCTGTGTCTGTTTCTAGATTTAGTGATGAAGGGATGGAGGTGATCGAGCGGCTTATCTACCTGTATCACAAGTTCCATCAGCTAAAGGTCAGCAATGAGGAGTATGCTTGCATGAAGGCAATTAACTTCCTAAATCAAGGTAAGTAGCGGGGGTGGGAGAAAGGGTACTATTGTTTGCTTTTAACCAGTGAGCATTTGCCCTTCTGTTTCACCCTCCCCCCCTTTCCCTCAGGACTGTCATACAGAATCCATCACCCATGTGGCTACCAATCTTGGAAGGCCTATGCTCCCCTTTCTCCCTTTATAGTGCAAACAGTACTTTGGAATTTTTTCTTCAAACCTAAATGCCACAGCCTCTATAACTCATAGAGGAAGGAAGAGAATTTGCTTTGTTTAGTCAGTTTTAATGCATTTAAACACAGGCACCAAGGACAGTACATGCGTCATTTAAATATGCACCGAGTTTACCCGACTGAAGAAGAGCAGGGTGACTGATGAAACTACTGGAGATAAGGCTGTGACAGGCTGGCAGTGGTTCTGACAGCCCCTTCAGGGCAGAGTGGGGGTGCATAAAAACTCATGCATGTACTTCAGGCCTGGCTTTTAATTAGAAGAGTGTGAGATGTCATTTATATGGAAGATTACCTGCAAAGTGCTTGGTAACTGCTGGTGGCCAGTGTTTGAAGAAGAATTTGTATTCTCCTTTCCAAAGCAGCCTATAAATGTTGTGATGGAATTAGGCTATTTTGCTGCCTATGGCATTGAAAGTGCCCTCTTTCTCTGTCTTTTTTTTTTTTTTTAAATACAGAAACACTTTTTTTTTAAGAATTATTTATTTAAATTAATTTATTTATTTTAATTTGACCAGAGAGGAAGAGAATGAGCTAGAGAGAGAGAAAGAAAGTGAGAAAGTAAGCTGCCAGGTCTAGAACTCAAACCATAGCTGGCCATGTGGGAGTCCAGAGCCCTTAGCCACCACACCACCTGCAGGCCCCCAAGTCCAGAAACTCTTCATCCCTCTTCTTTGCCCTCTCTTTCCCCACACTGGTCAGACCTCCTCCTCCGGCTTCTGTACTGTTTGTACCTTTTTTCTGGTGCCTCCCTTAGGCCAAGCCCTATGCTGATACTAAAGACATTGGGGGGAAAAAAAATTAGACCCCAGGCCCCTAGCCATAAGAAACGCACACTTCATTGGCACTTGACTCATTGCTTGCGCCTCCAACGGGAGAAAGCTGTAGTAACTCTTAGAGAAGTTTGAGCTGGGCCCAACGGCTGGGGAAGGTTTATATATGGAATATTATATTCATATTCTGTTTATTAAAAAGATAGGATAATGGATGGATAGAAAGAAAGAAAAATGGAGAAACAGTCCAGGTGGAATAGTAAGAGCAGAGGCACAAGATTGCGTGTGGAGTATACTCCTCAGTATACATGCATCAGCAAGCTTTCTGATCAGCTCTAACAAAGGGCAAATAGTACAGATATTGTGGACAACAAATTTGGAAGAGTAGGTTATTCAGTCCATGTGGTCAGCATTCACTGGCGCCCATTTGTGCCAAGCTCTGTGCTGAGAGCTGGATGCAAAGTTGAGAAAGACACAGCCAAGGTCCTCAAGAGGCTCAGTCTAGTGACTGTCCTTTATATTGTCCTTCTCTGTTTTGTTTTTCTCCCATGAGAGAAAAAGAGAAAAGATCTATCATCACAACAATGTTTAGTAACTTTTAGTCGAAAGATGCACGTAAGGTGTTTATTCTACATTACAAAGTCCCTCCTATTCCCTGTGTGGTTTTCTTCACAGATATCAGGGGTCTGACCAGTGCCTCACAGCTGGAACAGTTGAACAAGCGATATTGGTACATTTGCCAGGATTTCACTGAATATAAATATACGCATCAGCCAAACCGCTTTCCTGATCTCATGATGTGCTTACCAGAGATTCGATATATTGCAGGTAACATTCTGGGCCCCAGGCTTCCGAACCTGCCTTACCTCTCTGATCAGGCTTGTGAAGGAAAGAGTTAGGCACTACTTTCAGGATGCTCATTCCAGGCACGGCACCCGTTGCATTATTGAGTTACCGACTGTGCTCTCAAAAAAAGTTCTGTTGCAATGGAAAGTTACTGTTTTCTTTGTAAAGATGTTAACATTTCCTGAGCTCCTGTGATCTGTAGGATATTTTGTGGCCTTATGTCAATTTCCGCAAGGCATGTGGTTGCAATTTTTAAAGAATTATTTATTTAATTCCATTGGTGTTATTATTTTAAAATTTGATTAGCGAGAGAGAAAGGGAATGCGAGAAAGTAAGCCTCTAGGTCTTGGGACTCCAAACCAGTTGGCCATGTGGGAACCTAGCACGTCAATTACCACACCACCTGCCGGCTCTGTGGTTGCTAATTTTATGGATGGGAAAACAGGCTCAGATTATCTCAGATTAAATTAACTTCCCGAATTCTGTAGTTGAAATTAAATTAAATTTCCTGAATTTGTATTTTATGATAATACAGATTATATCTTAAAAAAAACAAAAAGAGCTTCATTTCACAGAATTGCCCATAGGCTTTCAGAGCTAATTTATTTAATATGATATGTTTAGGGCCCGCAGGAGGTATGGTGGTTAAGGCACTGGATTCTCAAGTTTGACTCTTGAAATCACACAGGGTGCATGTGTATGTGTGCCCAAAATCCCAAGAGGAGACTGAAAGAGAAGGGATTTGGACATGGCCATCTCCCCTGGGATTCTCTAACTAGCACTAGGAATTTCTCACTTTCCCTCTCTCTGTCTCTCTCTGGCTAGCACACACACCCTATGGCAAAAAACTAAATAAAAAATAATAATAATTTTAAAAAATAAACTGATATCTTTGAAATGATATGTTTACAAAGGTATGTTGTTGTCTGTGGTGGGTGTGATCTTGACCTTCTGCACTTTTTGATATCTAAATTGGTCCCCCCCCCTTTTTTTTTTCTTCCAAGAGAGAGATTTTTGCTATAGGGTATGTGTGCTTGCCAGAGAGACAGAAAGCAAGAAATCACCACCTAGGGGGATGGCCATGCCACAATCCCTTCTCCTCCTTTCTCCTCTCCGGATTTTGGGCATGCATGCACAAGCACATGCAATTAGTGTGAGTTTCAAGCTGCAGAGTCTAGTACTTGAACTGCAGTTGGCCATGTGGGAGTGTAGCGTCTTAACCACCATGCCACCTGTTGGCCCTGCTAGGTCCCTTTCAATGTAAAATCCTGACCTTTTTTGTTGTTAGTTTACTTTATTTAGTAAAAATTTTTCTTTATAGCTGTTCAGCATGTACCTTGGGGCAGCTCAGAAATATGACCTCTAGACTGGAATTGTTCGTGTAGAATTCAGCATGCAGTTGTTAAAGGAAAAAATTCTCAATCAGACAAGTGAATTTTTTTTCTACTGCTTTGGCCACAGTGCAGTCTAGCAGATGGATGTGAGCTGGACCTAAGCTATTAGAATTTTAGAGATATTTTAATAGTGTGCCTCAACTATTTTATTTTCTAAACTGTATTCTACCAAATGAAAGATAAATCAGGTGGTTTGTAAATGAAGTCAAAGGGAAGTCTGTAATTACACATCCACTCTCCCTCATAGAGATAGGTTCTCAGCCCTGGTAGGACTTTTAATCACCTGAGAATCTTTTTTAAAAACTTAGTATTTAGAGCCACCAAAGATACTGGTGTAATTGCTATTGGGTGGAGCTTAGGCATTAATATTTTTTAAATGTTCCCAGTGACTTAGATACTGTCTGGGAGAAGAACCACAGCCTAGGCATTTACAAAGTATATGAGCACACTAAATGCTTGGAGAGGTTCTCCAGTAAAAAAAACTCGTACAATTATTTTGACCTTGAATTTCTCAAATTTACTTGCCCCATGATCCTCCTCTCTCCCCTTTTCCCCAGTGCTTTATTCTTTTAATGACCAGAGGCCATAAGCACTCACCAGAGAGAGAGAAGCAGAAAACAATCTCTCATGCACTCAAACAAATGGGGCATGGCCATGCTGCAATCCCTTTTCCTCCATTTCTCCATCTTACCGGGATTCTAGGCATGCATGTGCACACACACATACCCAGTATGTTTTTCAAACTACTGTGGCCAGAACTCATAGTAGGCCATGTGGGATCCAGCCCCCTTAACGGCTAGGGTGCAGGGCTGGCCCCTATTCCCCAATACTTTTATTAACCCTATCATACTACTATTAAGAGAAATGTTTTATAGAATGCTAGTTAGAGAATCTGCCAGGAAAAAAAAAGAAAAAAAAATGAGTTTCTCAAGGTATTTTAGTTCTAAAAGGGAATCAAGGACTACTTCTTAGTTTTAGATTCCTCATCTATAAAATGGGACCAACTGGAGGAGAAAAGATTGCGGTGTGGCCACTTCCCCTTCCCCCCAGGGGTGCTTTCTCACTTCTCCTCCGTCTTTGTTTCTCTGGCAAGCACACATGCCCTGTAACAAATGAAAATGGGGGTGAAAGTAGTGTCTGTCACACAGAAGTGTAAGAATGAAGTGAGATCATACATTCAGTTATCTAGCCCAGAATACATAATCCCTAGGTGGTAGAATGATTGTGAGTTGGCACCATGACCAGACCCCTGAGGACACCAGCATGGGTGGATATCAGGACATTAGCCCAGTCTGTCTGACTTTAGTGATTCCCTTGGCACTTCCTTTGCCACAGTCTCTCTGCCTGACCATCTTTCCACTAGTGGCCACTGTTAACTCTTCTTCTCCCACCTGTTCCCAGGAAAGATGGTGAATGTACCCCTGGAGCAGCTGCCCCTCCTCTTTAAGGTGG